TTATACCCTTCCTGGGTTCTAGAGTAGCCAAGGAAGATACATTTAATGGAGTGAGCATCCAACTTGTCTAAACCAGGACCAAGATTCTGAACAAAGCACATACACCCAAAGATTCTGGGTGCCAAGGGAAATGGAGACAAAGTAGGAAACAAGATAGAGAACGAACGTGGACATGCGAATAATGAGAAAACAAGCAGTAAGGACTGCATCACTCTAGAACCGTTTAGGAACATTCATATGATGAAGAAGAGACCAAGTTGTTTCAAGTAGATGTCTATTCTTCCTCTCAGCTACCCCATTTTGCTGAGGAGTGTGAGCACAAGAGGTCTGATGAATTATATCATGTTGTTCCAGGTATTGCTGAAAGTAAGAAAGAAAATACTCTCTACCATTGTCAGAATGAAGAATTTTAAGTGGAACACCAAATTGTATATGCACTTCAGCATGAAATTTTTGGAAAATAAAAAATAATTCACTTCTTTCTTTTATTAAATAAAGCCATGTCAGTCTGGAAAGTCATCAACAAAAATTACAAAATATCTGTAACCATTATATGATTCAATTCTAATTGGACCCCAAACATCCGAATGAACTAACTCAAAAGGACTCAACATACGAACGACTATCAACTCTAGGATTGAAGGAAACCTGGTGGTGTTTCCCATACTGGCAAGGGTAACATTATTTGATGTAGAGGTTGGAGAAGGTAGGAAAACACACCTGGAGTCCCGGTCATGTGATCAGAGGCTCCAGAGTCAATTATCCAGGGTGAGGGTTTGGATGCTAGGCAAGCTATACCTGAATGAGCAAGGGTGGCAGTGTTCTGATGTGCAGTGGCCTGAAGAAATCTCTCATACTCCTCTCTGGGAATACTCATCATTTCCTTCCCAGAAGTAGTTGTGATTGTAGAAGATATTGGATCAACTGGTTGAGTATCACTGACTTCACTACCTCCAACAGCTACATGATTAGCCCATGTGGATGGTAGGCCATGTAAATCATAACAAAATTAATTGTCCTTCTCTTCCACAGTGTGTGCACTTCCTTGTTGTGCTCCCCCTTCCTCTGCCATGACCTCTCCCTGAATCACGACCTCCTTCACTGGTACAACCACCCATAGGATTACTATGGCCTCCCTTAACTGTACGACCACCTCCTCTCTGACCATAAGAACCACCTCGAGTACTAACTAGTGCTGATCTTTTGGAAGTTGTGTTACTCTCTGAGGGGCTAAGAGATATCCTACGGAGTCGGGCAAACACTTCTTCGAGAGTCGGGAGAGCAGATCCTCCCAATATCTTTGCCCTGATCGGTTCATACTCTGCTTTCAATCCCACCAAGAACCGCATAACATCAAGTTGTTTTGTTGCTGAATTTTAACGTCTGAGGTTAAGGGATGATAGACGTTAAGTTCATTCCGAAGATTTTTCATGCTGGCATAATATTCTTCAAGAGTCTGATTTCCATGTTGCAAACTGAAGTATTCTCGATAAAGCTGATAAACCCTTGTAGTGTTGTCTTGTCCTGAATAGAGTTTCTTCGCATGTTCCCAAATATCCCTCGCTGTATCTAAAAACATGAAGTTAACACTGATTTTTGGATCCATACTGTTCCACAACCATGTCATGATTTGAGCATTCTCTTGCTCCCAATCACTAAACCCCGAGGATTCAGCACTCGGATTCTCCTTCAATACATGTTTCGCTTTCTTCTTGGCCTTCAGAAACACTTCCACTGACTTGGCCCACGGAACATAGTTTTCACCGTTGAGTTTGATGGATGTCATTTGTACACTTAAAAAATCAGGAGATATCATCACACTCAATTTCTGGTCACCACTTGAATCACCCACTGATGCCATATCACTCTATGAAGCTGGTCACAAAAACAAATTTCGGCTACTGCACTACTGTCCTACTTCCACACCAACACACTTAAAAGTCACCACTAGCTTTCCCTAACATGCATTCGGCCACTGTGAACACCACTAATATGCGCACCAGCAGATTTAAAAACACCCAGAATCCCTCTTGAAACTGCTCATTAGAGGGCAGACCACAACCACTACACCCATTCGACCACCACAGCTGTCACATATAGTGACAGCAGTCCACACACAGACAAAACCTTGGATTTCTTGTTCACTTGAACTGCTGTAGTTGCCTACTGTCACCAGACCCAGAAATCTGGGTTACTTCACAGTCCTCTAACCCAGATTTCTCACACCATAAAAAAAAAGGTTGCTGCAGAACCCTTACTGTTGTGAAACCTTAGGTATTGCTGCAGAAATAGAAACCCTACTATCACGAACTACTAGATGTTGCCGCAGAGACCTGGGTTTCTTCTTCTCTAACCCAGATTTCTCACACCCAGAAAAAAAGTCGAAAATAAAGAAGGAGAAGACAGAAGGTTGCAGTCAGCTTCTAAAACTGGCGCTCTAATACCATAAGTGTTCAGCCGAACAGAGAAGAGAAGAGAGAGAAAGAAGAAAGAAGAAGAAGAGGGAGAGAAAGTGTTTAACTGGTTAGACCATATACTTTGCATTTGAAATTATAAGATAAGAAAGACTGAAATGCCCCTGCATGTGAGGAGACATACAGCCAACATAATACATAAAGAGAAAAGACAAAAATACCCTTTTCTAACTGACTCTAGCAGACTTGAAGGTACAAAACAACAAAGAGATCAGTTGGATGTTACCTGGTTTCTTTTAGGATTGAGATATGAATGAGTCTGTTTGCGCACACATTTTGGGTAGTAGTGAGATACCTACACTATTAGAAACTTTCTCCAGAGTTATGAGGGTTTCAAACCCACAAATTGATAGTTCTCCCCTACTTGAAAAATCTACTCTAGCTACAACTATAGGAGGTAGAGGCATACAAGGTAGAGGTGGCAATGTTAGAGGCGGTGGTCATAGAATGAGAGCTGACTGTGAAAGTATTAGAGATGGAGGTGTTGTTAGAGGATAAGGTGTTGGAGGACATGGATTGGTATGTGAATGCAGCCACTATGGGTGTGAATAGGGCTGTAATTGGATCGGATGAAGCAAAGTCCACATCCGATCCGATTAGTAATAGCATACATCGGAATCCGATCCAAAGTCCGATCAGATTTAAAGACTTGGATTCGAATCTGAATCCACTATAAATTTTTTAAAATACCAGAAAAATTAAAAATTTATTTATTTTTTAACCTTTATATATAATAAATTAATATAAATATAACACACTAAATTTATTATATATATAAATTCACATATAATATAATATATAGAATATATTTTTATAATTCTAAATATAATTATATAAAACTTATATATTAAAATTAATAAATATTATATTATAATTGGATTCGGATTTTAATCGGATTGGATGGGTTGAAATCCGAATCTGATCCAATTATTTATTGAATGTAGAGTGTAACATCTGAATCTGATCCGATTACATATATACACCATCCGAATCCGAGATAATCAGATCAGGTGTTGGATCGGGCTTCAGGTTTTCGAGTATCGTTGACAAGCCTAGGTGTGAAGGACACACTGTCTACTTTTCCTATGATCTACACGGTACACCATCCACATGGGCTAATCATGCTTTTGTTGGAGAGGATAATGGTATCACTAGTGATGATTCACCTGCCTTATGTACTGGAAAAGAAAAAGAGGTGGTGTCCATAACCCGTCAAGCGTATGAAAAACTTCACCTATCATCTTCTTCTGGTAACACCGCTACCCTTGCTAAATTAGGTACAACTTACTGGTGTTGTCACTTTCAGTTCTAATTTGACTTTACCATCTGTGTTATATGTTCCTAAGTTTCTGTTTCATCTATAACCTGTCATTGAACTTACTAAAACTCTTAATTGCTCTGTCTCATTCTATCATTCTGTGTTCCAGGATTTCAAAACGAGGAAGATGATTGGTGGTGGGTATGAAGCTGGAGGATTATGCTATCTGGATGTTGGTGGTTTGCAGAAAGCCTTACATTCTATGGTTCCCCTCCAACTGCAAGAACCAGAAGAATATTTCCATCTGTAGTCAGATTATTTAATCTGGATAATCATGGTTTACTGAAAAGAAAAGAGATGAAAAGGAAACTTGTAATCTAGGAAGTGTTTGTACCAAGTATTATATTTGTAGAGAAAAGAGAGACATGACATTGTAAAGCTTCTTGATTATATTTCTCATTTCTGTAAAATTTAGATACGAAAAGAAATGCAACCGGAATTCTCATAAAAATAGTTCTATAATTGTTTGTGTTATGGTAAATAGTTTCTGTTCACTTATTTCTCCAATACAGAATCAAAAGATTTTCTCTACCCTTTGCAAAGATGAAAATTAAGAGGACCATCTATATATGATACTGAGAATGGATAAAAAGGGCAGCCAAGTGCACGAGTCTCCTGCCAATGCAGGGTCTAGGGAGGGACAGATCACAGATGTACGCCGCCTTACCCCCGCACATACAGAGAGGCTGTTTCCAAGATTTGAACCCTGGTCACCCAAGTTGCAATGGTGCAACCCAATCACTGCGCCAAGGAATGGATCTTAGCTAAAATAATAGAAACTCGATTATTTAATTTAGTAAACTAGGTTGTATGAGAAATTCTTCAAGTTTTCACCCGAAGACCTATCTAAAGGAATTTCAACAAGGTTTTGTACAAGAATACAAAATATACATATATATTCTTGGGGATTCCAAATTTCTACCAGGAATTGAAGTTCATATAGATCTCCCAAAATCATGCAGAAAAAGAAAATCCTTTTATAGCTGTAAAAGCAAGAAGCTTAACACTGAATCAAATAATGATAATGCCTGATAACATACTACAGCATAAAATACTTAGCACATTTCTTTGAGTTGATACATATTGGTAGATGATGGTTGTGTTTGAGAAACTAAAGGTAAACGTGAAGACTATGGTTGGCATAAATTGAAAGAAAAAAAAAAACATAGCAGCAGTTCCAAATGCAAAAAGAAACATTAGCAGTTTACCTGCACTCCCCATAGTGTTCCATATTATGGACTGTCAACAGCAGTCTTGGTTTCTGCAAATTACAATAGTGGAGATTAAGATGATATCCAGGATATGTTCTCTATGCCACTTCACCAATATTCAGAAAAGCATACCTGCATTGCAAATCCTCAAGGGAACTTAACCGAATTAAATCATGAATCTTATAAGAACTAGTAGGGCAATTTCTACTCTTTCAGAAATTTATGAAGATTTTGTTATATTAAAGATTAAAAGATTAAAACATTGATTTAACAGACTTTCAGGCCATGCCCACAGTAAGTAGTTGATGGTAGAAGTATCAATACAACACTTTCAATACAAGGCATACCGTATCCATATCCATGACCACGGATATGGGATACACCATGATTGAGTTTGTATCATACGAGTTGTGCGTATCGGTGGATATGGTCTGATATGCACTGATACGGAAGTGTATCGGTGTCTAGTTTCACGACTCTGTATATTAACCGCTATTGGACTTTCATAAGAACTGAAAATTATAAAAATAATTTATTTTATTTACCGTAAATGATTTATATGTTTACATGTTTTATTTTACAATATAAATTATATGTTAAAAATTAAAATATATTTATTATTTGAAAAAATAGAATTATTATTTATATTAAATTAATAAATAAATAAAATATCCCAAAACATTTAATAAAATTCAAAATTATAATTATAAGAAATAAAGTACAACGATAATTATTGTATGGTGTACATATTCTAGAGTCCTAGTATTGTTGATTGTAATGTTTCTCTTCATATAACCTATTAAAGTGTGCATTTCTCATGTGTTTATACCTTATTCATAAATAACTCGAATTTAGATTTAGTGTTATTAATGTATTTATGTGATTTGTATGCATTTCCCTAGCATACCCAAGCATTTCCATATCTTTCGTCCATATCCATGTGTTTCCAAAGCATATCTGAGCTATCTGATATCGATACTTTGATCCTTGATTGCTACCAACAACCTCACCACATATGTACTATAACAAGTCCAACTTAAAGATCAAGCCAAAACAGTTCTTTTTAATTGGTAACTATTAAATATTATTAGATCATGAAAAGAAGGAAATAGGTACAAGATGCTGAACAATACCAGGCGTTGGCAAGCGTCATCTATCCATTTTTTTATGGTTAACAAAAATTATTTATTAATTGTAATTGTAAAATATATACTATCAAATAAGTACACATTTGATAGTTAACAAATATGTGCAGACCCTCTCTGTATCTGCAGGGGTAAGGCTGTGTACAAATAAAGATGGTAACTTTATTAATGGAACAGGAGGTACATAAGAAGATGTACATAGAATGACAGAAATTACAACTCAAAGGTTAAGTAGGAAGATATTTATCACTAAACAATAAATCCCTGTGAGTACCAGCTTTTTCTAGGCCATCCGCAGTAGAGTTTAGCTCCCTAGGGATCCAACCCAACTGTGCATTTAAGTTAGAGAGGATATCTCTAGCTTCAGCCAAGAAATGAGCTAAAGCCCATGGACCACTGCCAGGGTTAGCTAGCCACTTGATGGTATTTTCCGATCTCCTTTTATGAGAATGTTCTGATAGCCCAGATCTCTTGCAATCCTGATTCCAGTCAGTGTTGCCATGATTTCAGCCTTTGTTGAAGAGGCTATCCCAATCGGTTCACTGAAAACCCAATTAACTGTACCATCTCTTCTTCCGAAAATTCCACCAATTCCTGCTGCACCTGGGTTTCCAAACGCACCTCCTTCAAAGTACATGGTTATCTTCCCTTCCACAACAGAAGAGTGGGGGAGGGGGTGATTAAGGGCTGATGTTTAGAAAACAAAAAATCTGCAACATTTCTTTGAAGATCAGAAAAGGAAACTCCTTTAAAAAACTCTGAGTTTGAAGTCCAAAGGAAACTTCTATAGGAAATGATAGACAAGAGCACCTCATAGTCTCTTTTTCTGTTGTTGAAAATGCAGTTATTTCTCTCTTCCCAGATGCTCCAAAGGATAGCATGTGCTACAGAAAATGCTACAGAAGATGCTCCAAAGGATAGCATGTGTTGTAGAGGTACAGAACCTCAGTTTTCTCAGTTCTGTTGAGGTAGTAGTCGACTACTAAGAAATCTCTTCATGTAGTAGTCGACTACTAGCAACAGGGTATTGAAGATTCAGCAATAATATAGTGAACCCAATGTCCACTGAAGATTCAACATCTTCTGGTATTACCTCTCCCCAAAGAAATCTGAATGGAGGGATGGACAACATAAATTTCTCTATGTCTATCGCTCTCTTTGATGGTATCAATTACTTGGAATGGTCCAAAGGCATCGAACTGTATGTGACGGCTAAGGGAAAGGTTGGTTATATAAATGGGAAAATTAAAGAACCAAAATCTTGTACAACTGAACATGATAGATGGAATCAATAGAGCAGTATGGTTATGTCATGGCTCTTGGGTTCTATGCTGCCACATGTAAATAAGAACTTCATATGGGCTGATACAGCTTGTGAGATTTGGGAACGGGCCAAGGTAACCTACTCAGAACAGAGACATTATGCTAAGATATACCAACTTCAAGCGGAATCATCTACTTGCAAGCAGGGAGACCATAGCCTATTTACCTACTATTCAGCCTTTACCTCTGTGTGGAAGGAGCTAAACCATTATCAAACCATTGAATGGAAAATTGATGAGGATGCTAAAGCTTATAAGAAACTTGTCTCTCAACAATGTATGTTTGCCTTCTTGTTTGGGCTGAACCCAGTTTATGAACCACTTTGGGTGCAGATTTTGGGAAGTAGTGAACTTCCCTCTGTACAGGAGCTCTATGACTTGATTCAATCTGAAGAGAGCAGAAGAAATCTGACGAATGCTTCTGAGGGGGAACAGCCAGTTGCCCTAGCTTCAAGGGGAGGCAACACTGGAATGAAAAAGGTGACTCGAGAGAAACGATGATAAGGATAAACTGTGGTGTTACCTGCCCATTCTCAAAGTGGTACAGCCAAGGTATGCTTAGGCTTTCCTATGCTGGTTGAGAAGAAAGAATAAAAAGGTGGTGAAAGATTGGATTGCTTTGAGGGAATCCAGGCATCCAGATAACTACAAGTTTTAATTGAAAATAGAAAGTATTCTCTTTATTTCTGGATGCCAAGTTTAAGTATAACTCAAATACAATGATGTGGAGTGATAATAGGATCCACAGCTAACTACATCCACTACTTGACAAACTCTTAAGTAATGCTACCCAACAAAGTAAACAAATCAAATAACAAAATAATAACAAACTCCTATGACTCGGTCACCATGCAAGCACATGTGTAACAGCCCCCCCTCCCTTAACTGAATCCCTTGTCCTCATGGGAGAAATCTGGGAATTGCTTCTTGATAAATTCAACCCTTGCCCGCGAATAAGAACTTGTTGATTCATCTTTTGATGTAGGTCAAGGATATCTTGAGAAGTGGGCAGAATGTGGTCTTGCTCCAGGTGAGACTAAGGTAGCTGAGGTTGAACAATGGTGTTGGGCTTCAACATAGAAATACGGAAAACAGGGTAAATCTTGGAGTGGGCTGGCAAGTCCAACTTGTAAGCAATAGGCCTAATACACTGTAGTATCTTGAATGGCCTGTCAAATTTTGGTAAAAGCTTCAAGTTATGACACATAGAAACTGAGTGCTGCCTGTATGGACGGAGCTTGAGGTAAAACCATGTATCCACTGAAAGCTCAAATTCTCGGTGCTTAGAGTTGTAAACTTGTTTCATCATGTTTTAGCTTCATGTATACAGTCCTTCAGCTCCATGAGAATTCTATCTCGTTGCAATAATTCAACTTTGACAGCTACTACCTTGTTTGTTCTAGACACATCAGTCAAGAATATCAGAAGTGGGCAGCCATAAACTACTTCAAAGGGGTTCTTTGAGTGGTGAAATACCAGCTCGTGTTATAATAATATTCCGCCCAAGCAAGCCAATGGGCCCAACTTCTGGGCATTGAACTGGTGAAGCAACACAGATACATCTCAATGGTTCTATTCACCACCTCACTTTGACCGTCAGTTTGGGGGTAATAGGTGGAGATGAAGTTAAAATGAGTGATGTTAAGTTGAATGGTTCCTACCAAAAAAAGCTTGTAAAAGTGGGGGTCCTAGTCACATACAATAGACCTTGGAATTCCATGCAATCATACAATGTGATCAAAGAAAATATTTACAATGCTTACTATTGTATATGGATGAGATAGAGAAATAAAATGGGCATACTTCAACAAAATCATAGCCCATTAATTTATATAAACATTTTGGCTGGGATAGGGTAGTGATTTTCTGGGCCCATAAATGCATCAAGCTTTCATGGTCAATGTGGACTTCAAATTGGCACCCAAGCAAGTAGTGACGCCAGTTTTGCACAGCCAAGATGGGTGCCAAAATTTCTATAGCAATAGGTGTCTCCCATGAAGTGCATGAGCATGACTGGACAAATTCTATGGGCCTTTCTTGCTTCAAGGCTGCACCATCATCTGATCTGAATCCATCACATTCAATGATGAATAAATTGGAGAAATCTGGGACTGCTAGCATCAGTGCCTGAGTCAACACCTCCTTAAGACATTGGAAGGATTCTTCAGCTGGTGGATTCTATGGGAAAGAGTTCTTCAGTAGCTATTTAAGTGGGTTGGAAATAAGCCCAAAGTTCCTTATGAACTTTCTGTAGTGTCCTACTAGGCCCAGTAACCTGTGCAGATCTTTGGTGGTTGTGGGCTTGAGCCATTCTTGGATGGCAACTACCTTGCTAGGGTCGATAACAACTCCTACATTAGAGATAACTTGGCTGAGGTATTGGACCTCTTTTTTGGCCGAACTGACAATTGGACAATTTCACATACAAGTGGTGAGTTTCAAGGTTGAAATAAACAATATCCAAGTGCTCTAAATGAGCTTCCACAATTTATTATAAATGAGGATGTCATCAAAATACAAGAATGAACTTGTGCAAATTGTTCTTAAATACCTCATTCATGAGCTTAGAAGGTGATATTGCAT